AGATTCAAAGGAAGGAAGTTTAATTGGACTGAATCGGAATTTTTATTTTATGATTGATCAGTATAAACATCAACACCTTCGAATTGGATCAGTTTCTCCTGAACAAATAAGTGCTTGGGAAAAAAAAATCCTACCCAATGGAGAAATAGTTGGGGAGGTAACAAAACCCTATACTCTTCATTATAAAACCAATAAGCCTGAAAAAGGTGGATTATTTTGTGAAAGAATTTTTGGGCCTATAAAAAGTGGAATTTGTGCTTGTGGAAATTATCGAGTAATCGGAGATAAAAAAGACCAACCAAAATTTTGTGAAAAATGCGGAGTAGAATTTGTTGATTCTCAGATACGTAGATATCAAATGGGGTATATCCAATTAGCATGTCCTGTAACCTATGTGTGGTATTTGAAACGTCTTCCTAGTTATATCGCGAGCCTTTTAGATAAACCTCTTAAAGAATTAGAGAATCTAGTATACCGCGATGTGTGATTTGATAAAAATTCTTATTGTACAGATTTCGAATGATAAACTGTCATTCCATTCAATTAAATGGGAATGTCCTATATCTGGCATGTCTCTTGGGATGAGTAACATGAAGCTCAGAATTCATGGGTGTATTGAATACTCCCCAATCAAAAAGGGAATTGGTCTATGGTCAATTCAGTAACAAATAACTATATACTGTATGTACCTTGTGAAAAAAAAAAACTTTTTTGTGGAATTCATTATTCCATCTCTTTTTTTTTAAAGAACTCAAATTATGTTCAAAGAATAAAATATATCATGATTGCAGAAGTTTATCTATCGCATATAGGCTTTAAGACATCGTGGCAGACCCGTCGAGGTGACGTCTTGACCTAGAAGATCGAACGGTATGATACATAGACAAAGAAATCTCTTATGAATTCGAGGATATTCCTTTTTTATTAAGAATTTCATTTTAGAGGATTCCTCGTTCGAAGGGAGGTAGACTACTCAAGAATTTTACATTTTATTTCTGTCTTAATTTCGAATTGGATAAAAAAATTCAGAAAAAAAAGAAGAATGTATCAATGAAATGTTGCTTGGTCTTTATTGATAACTTGAGTAAAGAGTAAACCTTTTTGATTTTAGATTAGAGGTTTTCCAAAATTGGAAAGCGGAAACCCCTTTCTTTATCTTTAATTGTGTGCAAATACTTTAGCCGGATGAGAGGAAACCCTCATGTCCGATTTTAAAGGGGGCGATCCATCTTATTGGATTCTATCCAAATTTTTCTTTTGCTAGGCCCGTAGTTAAAAAACCAACTTTCTTACGATTACGAGGTTCATTCGAATATGAAATCCAATCCTGGAAAGACAGTATCCCACCCCTTTTTGATACTCAAGGTTTCGATACATTTCGAAATAGAGAAATTTCTAGTGGAGCGGGTGCTATACGACAACAATTAGTTGATCTGGATTTAAGAATTATTATGGATTCTTCGTTGCTAGAATGGAAAGAATTAGGAAAAGAGGGGTCCAATGACAAATGGAAAAATCAAAAAGTTCGAAGAAGAAAGAATTTTTTGGTTCGACGCATGGGATTAGCTAAGCATTTTCTCCTAACAAATATAGAACCAGAATGGATGGTTTTATGTCTCTTACCAGTTCTTCCTCCCGAATTGAGACCAATTATTCAAATAGATGGCGGTAAACTAATGAGTTCGGATATTAATAAACTCTATAAAATAGTTATCTTTTGGAACAATACTCTTATTGAGCTATTAAGAACAAGTGGGTTTACACCAGCGGAATTAGTAATGTCTCAAGAAAAATTGGTACAAGAAGCCGTGGATGCACTTCTTGATAATGGAATCCGCGGACAACCGATGAGGGACGGTCATAAGAAAGTTTACAAATCGTTTTCCGATATAATTTCGGGCAAAGAGGGAAGATTTCGAGAGACTCTTCTTGGAAAACGAGTTGATTATTCGGGGCATTCTGTTATTGTCGTAGGTCCATTACTTTCATTACATCGATGTGGATTGCCCCCCGAAATAGAAATAGAGTTATTTCAGACATTTCTAATTCGTGGTTTAATTCGAAACCATATTGCTTCGAACATAGGAGTTGCTAAGAGTCAAATCCGGGAAAAAGAACCAATTGTATGGGAAATACTTCACGAAGTTATGCGAGGACATCCAGTATTGCTGAATAGAGCGCCTACTTTGCATAGATTGGGCATACAGGCATTTCAACCCATTTTAGTAGAAGGACGTGATATTTGTTTACATCCATTGGTGTGTAAGGGATTCAACGCAGACTTTGATGGGGATCAAATGGCTGTTCATATGCCTTTATCTTTGGAGGCTCAAGCAGAAGCTCATTTACTTATGTTTTCTACTATGAATCTCTTGTCTCCGACTATTGGGGATCCTATTTCTGTACCAACTCAAGATATGCTTATTGGACTTTATGTATTAACTAGCGGAAATCGTCGAGGTATTTGTGCAAACAGGTATAATTGGTTTAATTGCAGAAATTCTCAAAATGAAAAAATGAGCAATAATAACTTTAAGAACTTGAAGTATATGAAGGGAAAAAAAAAGAACCCTGTTTTTGCAATTCCTATGATGCAATTGGAGCTTATAGACAGAAAAGAATAAATTTGGATAGTCCTTTTTGGCTCCGGTGGCAAATACATCAATGCATTATGTCTTCAAGAGAAGTTCCTATTGAAGTTCACTATGAATCTTTTGGTACCTATTATGAGATTTATGAGGATTATTTAGTAATAAGAAGTATAAAAAAAGAAATTCGTTGTATATACATTCGAACCACTATTGGTCATATTTCATTTTATCGAGAAATCGAAGAAGCTATACAAGGTTTTTCTCGAGCCGATTCATCATATAGTATCTAATCATATAGATGGTTAGTGTTGGTATCCACGCTAAGTAAATTTAGGATACTGGTGTAAATTCAGGTCAACTAGCATCTTTTCAATTTTCTACGTAAATAAACATAAAGAAAAGGGAGTTTTCCAATCATTCACTCAAATCTATTGTCGTCGAACCGAATACCACTGAGTGGAATATGGAGGGACTTATGGCAGAAGGGACCAATCTAGTCTTTCACAATAACGTGATAGGTGGAACTGCCATTAAACGACTTATTAGCAGATTAATAGATCATTTCGGAATGGCATATGCATCACACATCCTGGATCAAGTAAAGACTCTAGGATTCCATCAAGCTACTGCTACATCTATTTCATTAGGAATTGATGATCTTTTAACAATACCTTCTAAAGGATGGCTAGTCCAAGATGCTGAACAACAAAGTTCCGTTTTGGAAAAACATAATCATTATGGGAATGTCCATGCGGTAGAAAAGTTACGCCAATCCATTGAAATATGGTATGCTACAAGCGAATATTTGCGACAACAAATGACTCCCAATTTTAGGATGACTGACCCCTTTAATCCAGTCCATATAATGTCTTTTTCAGGAGCTAGAGGAAATGCATCTCAAGTACACCAATTAGTCGGAATGAGAGGATTAATGTCAGATCCACAAGGACAAATGATTGATTTACCCATTCAAAGCAATTTTCGTGAAGGACTGTCTTTAACAGAATATATAATTTCTTGCTACAAAGCCCGTAAAGGGGTTGTAGATACTGTTGTACGAACATCAGATGCTGGATATCTTACACGTCGACTTGTTGAAGTGGTTCAACACATTGTTGTACGGCGAATAGATTGCGGTACCATCCGTGGGATTTCTGTAAACATCCGAAATGGAATGATGCCAGAAAGAATTTTGATACAAACATTAAATGGTCGTGTAGTAGCAGACAATATATATATAGGTTCACGGTACATTGTCGTTAGAAATCAAGATATTGGAATTGGACTTATCAATCGATTCATAACTTTTCAAACACAACCCATATTTATTCGAACCCCCTTTACCTGTAGGAATACGTCGTGGATCTGCCGATTGTGTTATGGGCGAAGTCCTATTCATGGGGACCTGGTAGAAATTGGAGAAGCTGTAGGCATTATTGTTGGTCAATCTATTGGAGAACCGGGAACTCAACTAACATTAAGAACTTTTCATACTGGTGGAGTATTCACAGGGGGTACTGCTGAATATGTGCGAGCCCCCTCGAATGGAAAGATAAAATGGAATGAGGATTTAGTTCACCCTACACGTACACGTCATGGATATCCTGCTTTTATATGTAATATAGACTTGTATGTAACTATAGAAAGTTACGATATTATACATAACGTCATTATTCCACCAAAAAGTTTTCTATTAGTTAAAAATGATCAATATGTAAAATCAGAACAAGTGATTGCGGAGATCCTCGCGGGAACATATACTTTTAATTTGAAAGAGAGGGTTTGAAAACATATTTATTCTGACTCAGAAGGGGAAATGCATTGGAGTACCGATGTGTACCATGCATCAGAATTTATGGATAGTAATGTACATATCTTACCAAAAACAAGTCATTTATGGATATTGTTAGGAAAGTCGTGCAGGTCTAATACAACCCATTTTTTACTTCACAAGGATCAAGATCAAATTACCATGGATTCACTTTCGAATGGAAAAAAAAATATTTCAAATCTTGTAGAAAGGAATAATCAAGTAAAACATAAATTCTTTGGTTTCCATACTTTTGGTACAAAAGAAAAGGGGATCAGCGATTATTCAATATTTAATCCAATCATATATATGGATCATTCTTATTTAATGTATCCCGCTATTTTTCACGATACTTTTTATTTCTTGGCGAAAAGGCGAAGAAATCGATTTCTTATTCCATTTCCATTCCAATCGATTCAAGAACGAAAGAACGAACTAATGTCCCCTTCCGGTGTCTCCATTGAAATACCTATCAATGGTATTTTTCCTAGAAATAGTATTTTTGCTTATTTCGATCATCCTCAACCCATTTTTCAAAAAGAAGATTTCATTGAGTATCGAGGAAGAAAAAGTTTAAAACCAAACTATCCAATTCAAGTAGGTCCCTTTTTTTTTATTCCCGAAGAAGTGCATATTTTACCCCAATCTTCTTCCTTAATGGTACGGAATAATAGTCTTGTTGGAAGAGGAACACCAATCACTTTCAATATAAGAAGTCGAGTAGGCGGATTGGTCCGATTAGAAAAGAAAAAAAAATAGAATTAAAAATATTTTCTGGAAATATCCATTTTCCCAGAGAGATTGATAAGATATCAAGACACAGTCCCATCTTTATACCACCCGGAACGGTAAAAAAAAATGCAAGGAATAAAAAAAAAATAAAGATGGGATCTATGTCCAACGGATCGCAACTACAAAAAAATTGCAAGGAATCAAAAAAAATTAAAGATGGGATCTATGTCCAATGGATCGCAACTACAAAAAAAAAAATTGTTTTGGTTCGACCTGTAATTTTATATGAAATACCGGACACTATCCCTTTTGTAAAACTTTTTCCCAAGATCTATTCCAGGAAAAGGATAATCTGGAACTAAAAGTTGTCAATTCTATTGGAAAATCCATTCGGGAAATTTCCGACACAAGGATTCCATTCCTTCGGACTTGTTTAGTCTTCCATTGGGATGACGGCAAAAAAAGTTCTTAGATTGAGGAGGCCCCCGCTTCCTTTATTGAAGTAAGTACAAATGGTTTGATTGAGTATTTTCTAAGAATTGACTTAGTAAAATCGAATATTTCATATATCAGAAAAAGAAATGACCCATCTGGTTTAGGATTGATTGGGGATAATAAATCGGATCGAATCAATCCATTTTTTTCTATTCATTCCAAGGGAAAAATTCAACAATCACTTAGCCAAAATCACGGAACTATTCGTATGTTGTTGAATAGAAATAAAGAATGCCGATCTTGGATAATTTTGTCATCATCTAATTGTTTTCAAATGAGACCATTCAACAATGTAAAATCTCACAATGGGATAAAAAAAGATCCTATAATTTCAATTAAGAAGAATAATAATTCGTTCGGCCCTTTAGGAATAGTTGCAAATTTATATTCACTTTATCATTTAATAACTCATAATCAGATCTCAATAATAAAAATTTTGCAACTTGACAAATTAAAGGAAATTTTTCAAGTAATGAAATATTATTTCATGGACGAAAATGAGAAAATTTGTAAACCCGATCTATACAGTAATATCGTTTTGAATCCATTCCATTTAAATTGGTTTTTTCTCCATTATTTTTCTTGTGAAAAAACGTTTCCAATAATAAGTCTTGGACAATTTATTTGTGAAAATATATGTATAGCTCAAATGAAAAATGGACCACACCTAAAATTAAAATCGGGTCAAGTTATAACAGTTCAAATGGATTCTGTAATAATAAGATCGGCTAATCCTTATTTGGCGACTCCAGAATCAACTATTCACGGCCATTATGGGGAGATCCTTTCTCAAGGAGATATTTTAGTTACATTCCTATATGAAAAATCGAGATCCAGTGATATAACACAAGGTCTTCCAAAAGTGGAACAGATATTCGAAATACGTTCGATTGCTTCAATATCCATGAATCTAAAAAAAAGAATTGATGCTTGGAACGAGTGTATAACAAAAATTCTTGGCATTCCTTGGGGATTCTTAATTGGTACTGAGCTAACTATAGCTCAAAGTCGTATTTCTTTGGTTAATAAAATCCAAAAGGTTTATCGATCCCAGGGAGTACACATCGATAATAGACATATCGAGATTATTGTGCGTCAAATAACATCCAAAGTCTTGGTTTCAGAAGATGGAATGTCTAATGTATTTTTACCTGGCGAACTAATTGGATTATTGCGAGCAGAACGAACGGGGCGTGCCTTGGAAGAAGCCATTTGTTACCGAGCTTTATTATTGGGAGTAACAAAAACATCTCTGAATACTCAAAGTTTCATATCCGAAGCGAGTTTTCAAGAAACTGCTAGAGTTTTAGCAAAAGCCGCTCTTCGGGGTCGTATTGATTGGTTGAAAGGTCTTAAAGAGAATGTTGTTTTAGGGGGAATGATACCCGTTGGTACCGGATTCAAAAGAATAATTCACCGTTCACGGTCAAGGCAACATAACAAGATTAGCCGGAAAAAAAAATTATTCGAAGTCGAAATTAGAAATCTTTTGTTCCATCACAGAAAATTATTTAATTTTTCTCATTTCAGAGAATTTATGTGATACATTCGAAATATAGGATTAAATATAGTATTAAATTCTTCCTAACAGCGGATTCGACTCATCCATTCCCTGAAATATTTAAATGCAGTAATTGGATTTGGTAATTAAAGTATATTAAAAAATAATAAGAAATAGAAATCAAAGAATGGCCTGATTCTATATTAACGGCCGATCGTCTATAAAAGAGAAGGTTCCATCGGAACAATTATTTATTAGGATACTCGGTCTCTCTTTTTTTTTTTCATTTTTTTAAACAAAGTGTGGGGATAAATGACAAAAAGATATTGGAACATAACTTTGGAAGAGATGCTGAAAGCTGGGGTTCATTT